AAAAAAAAAAAAAAGGGGGGGGGGGGGGGGAAGCAAGACTAGCAGGAGATTCTACGATACCGGATAAAAGGGCACGTAGATTCACCCTCACTCGAGTTCCTCCTATCGTAGGAATCGATGAGCCTTGGAACAACCCTAAAATGACTGCACGCAACCAACCCCAATTTTATCGTTGAAATTCGAAGTCTCTGCCACGCTGCAGTATCGCCAGGGAGTTAGTCCTTTTCACATATATTTCGCAGCGTTGACCCAACGAGCCGTGTCTTATTTGTACTCGTTCATCCTAGCGGCAGCTTACGGAAACCGGAAGCTCGGAGCAATAGCTTCGGATTCGAGCGGTCACCGATAACCGATCAAACTTCAAGTTCAATCTACGATTTGAGAATCTCCGACGACTTATAAGGGAAGCTATACTGCCTATATGTACCTGCTATAAACATTTCGTGATCATCTATCGAAATACCCACAGTTGCAGAAGTCCCGATGACGTCAATACGCGTTTCCCATAAGCCCCCTTTTTTTCTGTCGCCTCGATTCACTTGGCAACCCGCATCTACGGATAGGAACTAAAATTACGAACGCCAAGCTCGCAACTTGTTTCCCGGTACGGAATCAAAGGATTTCCTTGCGCGATTCGTCAAAGAAAAAAATGAGGAAGAAAAATAAAAAAAAAAAAAGAAATTTTGTGACGAATGTGGCGTAACGAGCGGAGACATCCCCTAGTCGCGCAACGACGGAGGGGCAAGGGGGGCGGGTTATACTCTAAGGCGGACGTTGTTTTCAGAGAAAACAGTAATTATACAAATTGGTGGTGCGCCGGAAACGAATCCTCTTCCAGAAATAACATCGGCGCCAAATTTAAACACGGCCGCGCGTCTCTTATGTGTCTCACGGTCTGCGGCCCTCGTGTATACTTCATCTATCGAGCACCATCTATCGCTAGAGCCTCGAAAGGCAAGGGATTCGACGTTCAAAGAAGGTTGAGAGAGAAAGAGATAGAAGAGAGTAAAAGAAATGAGAGAAAGAGAAAGAGAGAGCGAGAGAATGAGGAATTGAATGCCCGACAACCTGTAGGCTGGCAAGTGCTTAATTAAACAGCGTCAGATAGAAATTCTTTGAATATACAGAGGACACTTTGAAATATCAACAAAAACAATTAGCCATTGCAATTTTACAATGAATAGCTAATTTCGAGTATAAATTTTTAAATTCAAATTCACATGCATTAACCTATGAGTATTGCACGTTATGCGTACGCGTAACGAACAAAACAAACCGATCCTCCCATACGATAACTTCCTTTGTTCCTTCGCACATTTCCGCGTAAGAGTTGGTAAACGTGGATAAAGATAATGCCCGAGAAATTAATAGAACGATAAGGTAGATACCGGCATCAACCGTGAAAATGGGGCTTAATCGATCGTCGGCTCTTAATTCTTAATTGTAATAAAATTACGTATTCATAGGCTGGCAGTTTGTTTTTCCCGCGGGTTCTCCGCTTGGCCCGCCTAAGCGTACGCACAGCCACAACAGTATATACACATATATATATAAGCTAATACCGACGGAAGACGCAGGGGGCTCGCAGTGCACAAAAGAGAGAGAAAAGAAGAGAGCCAACCCCACTGGGTCCATGAATAAATTTGAAATTAACTTTCGAACGATATTATACGACGCTGGCGAGTACGGGCGTGCGGCCCTTGAAAATTCCTGTGGAAAAAACCGTTACGTAAGACGCTGGGTAAAAAAAGATGGGCTCTCTGGACGTCAAAAGTATATCGAGAGCCATGTACGATCAGTACGATGAGAAAAAGATCACGCACGCTATGCAGCGAGGTAAAGAACCAAGAAAAATACACCAAAATGAAATCCTTCTGTATGAAGCCATCGGAAAGCGCACAAAGAGTCCTGAAGTTCAATTACGAAACACCTAAAACCGTTCTTCCCTGTTGCCGTCGCGTATTCCACGTTCATATTTTACGTATATCCTGTCCTTGTTTCTTCCAACTACGTGTTGACATTTTGTCACGTCTTTTTATCTATTCATGTATATGTCCTTCTATTTCTTTATGTCTTTTAGTCACCCACGTGATCTTTATGTATTTCGCTATGTATTATTTATGGCTCGCTGATCCTACCAAAATGTATGCGTTTCTTTTTGCCGCTATAACGCCTCTCTCTTTCCTCGTCCAACCTTTCTCTCTCAGGTCACCAGGAGGCTTTCCGAAGAAAAATAAAAATATGTATTCGCCACCCTATATGCAAACCTCACTCCTCGAGAACTGACGAGGACCGTCGCACTTGGCACGAGGATTGACCATAGACTCTTTATCGATGAAGATTTCCCTTCGTTTACGAATATTTGCATGCTTCGTCTGTTTTCCGCACTCGTCGCTGCTATTCGTGTATATCTCAGCCTACCCTACACACGCGCGTACATGAAGTGGCAACCCCACGTCGTCATTCCGCGCTGCGAGATACCGTAACGAGAAAAAAATTACATTCTCTGAACTGTGCCGCATTCGGTGTGGAATAACCTTAACGGTCAAGACGCTGTAATGGTGTATGTACGCTGTAGTGCGCATGCGCGTGCCTTATGGGGAAAAGGGATTAGATTAATGAAAACGCTGTACAATTTTGTACGTAAACAACATTTGGATATATTTATGGATACCGTGGGCTGAGTCGAATAAAGGCAAGGCAGAGACCAAGTCAATTATAAGCAATGGTTCAAGTTACTCCATTATGGCTCCGACGGATTTAAAGCAATTACTCAAGTTTGAGAAATTTCTTCGGCAACCCTACGCCGTTTTACCACGAGTGCCACCCTCAGAAAGAAGAAAATTTTAGTACGCGCCGAGGAAGGAGGTTCGGTTATAGTCGCTAACTCGGCCACTGGAAATTTACAGTGACAGATGTTCTCGAGCACTCTCCGACGCGAGGACTACGTCGACGGCGGGCGTCTCGAAATTTAGTTTCTTTTAATACAGATCCTTTTATGTCGACTAAGCTATAGCATTACCCACCGTGGATCCGTTGAGGTTTCTATTACCGACGCTCGTGATGACTCGGTCAATTCTAGAAGGGACGCTAAACAAATATGGCGGCCAAGTATTAACGAGCAGACGACGAGGATGATTTTCACCGCTTCAAAATGTCACTCAATACTGAAACCTGAGAACGACTTCTGAAACGTAACACTGAGTTTTCTCGAAGGTGCTCACACCTAGACTTTATGTACGCCTCCGCGAATAATCATCGTGCCACGACGCAAATACGAACGCGTTACGACACGCACAGTTATCGGCCGTTACAAGGTAGCCAGCAATGGAAGCGAAGAGGTCAAAAAGAAGGAGTATGAAGATACAGAAAGAGAGGAAAAACGAGAATTGCATTGGCACCCACACGATTTTATTATTCAGTATAGAACGTGCCGATCGTCAAACGTATAAAATGCTAGTTATGCCTATAGGATTCTTAAGGGTAAAAGAAAAAAATCGTAAATACATTGTCGTCGCGACGCAGTACCTTATGAACTTAAAGGGAAGCTCCAAAAGCGTGGTGGGTACGTTTTAGCCTCTCTCCTTCGCTTCTAGGAGCCGAATAGATTACGAAAGTGGTTCTGGTCTTTGTCAAAAGAGAGAGAGAGAGAAGGATTAAGAAAAGGAGGTTAGAGCGAGAAAGAAGAGAGTCCAACTGACAAGAAGACATACGAGAAGGACCAGGGGTTGTTGTCAAGTGGGTAAAGCCTCCTCCACAACGCTGGCTTTTCTTCCTACAGTGTCTCGTATCCTTCTGTCTTTCTCTTTTCAGACTCCAAGACCATTCTTCCAAGTTCCTACGGTTCTTTGTGAAATGTTAAAACAGACTGGACAGCCACGGCTGCTGATAAAAGAAATGGGCATCCCACCAACCGGACAAGAACAAGAATAGTAGTAGAGACTTTTCCTGAATAATGTACAAGAGAGCGTACCCACTGTTTACTAGTCACCAGCTATCTATCGCTCTGGAGGAAGCAAAGAAAAAGAATAAAGACAGAAGCGTGGTACAGCATTAATGAGAAGTCAGTAAAACGTACGTATACAGGGCTTTTTCACATAAATCAATCTTTTCCGAGAGGGCAATAGATTTTAGAGGTTATAACGTTATTCTCAAATATGTATACTTTGGTTTAAGAGAAAAACTGGGTAAACACGAAACTCATTCCTCACGCCGTGAGATTTGTTTACTGGTTCTAATCGAACCTGTGACGTAACGGGGTCGCGTCACGATTTACAATGCTATTCTGTACCGGCATCGATTACCCACAGTACTGTAATAACGCCCTTGTTATAACGAACAAGGTAACAGAAGGACGAGGTTAGATTTGTATTAATATATCATAACTCAACGTGTGTATGTAACGCCTGTGTTAATATTTTATGTAATATATATGATATCCTCTGCCGCTTCTTCAGGATAAAATTGGCAAAGGCCTATGAGAATATTGTCACACTGTTGGCAGAGTATCCGGATTTTCTTTGTCACTTGATAGAAAAAGGGGGTTATACACCCAGAAATACCTTTTTTACGAGTACAATCACCTCGGGATATCCTACATCGTTGACTCTCAGCTACAGTAAAAGTCTTAACCCTGTGTCTCATGTACATACGTGGGTGTTCATGGATGTAACATGGCGGGGACCAGGCGCTTTTAAAATTACGAGTCTCGTGGAAAAACAATTAACGGTATCGCTCTCAGGATGGCTGACATGGTGGGAACGATATAACCGTCTACGAAGATTCAGGAACTATTACAACTTGGATAATATTGACTAAGGACACGTCACTACGCCTTATTGAGGATTTCAGCAGTTTGGATAAGAAAACTGTGTAAATAATATACGAACCCTTCGAAGATATAAACGATGATTTTACGTCCTCCAGGAGATACTAACCAAGGCGTGGACATAGGATTGACGTATAGGATAGTTCCAGGATAAATTACACCATAGACTCTATAACAAGAAACACTGCACTGGGATACATGGAAGGATGGGGTAGAGTACTTGTCTATTGGAAAATGGTACCACTGTGTAAATGAGGGGAAATCATCAGAGCGTAAAGCCCTGCTTTTCAAGCACGTTCCCGTTGGCTCCTACGTAGAAGAGAAGCAGGCGTGCTCTCGTGGAGTGAGGAGGCCGAGGTCGACGGGAATAACGAGAAAGGTAACGCCATGAATTCTTTACAGGATATTTACATTCCAATACCAAGGAACAATCAGGAAGACAGTCTGATCGAAGTGTGACAGTAGACACACAACAAGTAGGTCATATAAGACTACTAGAATCTATGGGATACGACAGATCGACGAAGCGACACACGTTTTCTTTACTCTAAGAAAATATCTATGTCCGTGGTCGGTTATTGTCACACACTTTTTTTTATGTAGACGGTTATACTTAATACACTGGACTTACCTTCTTAGGACGGGATGAGCCATGAGCGCTCGTAATGATTTAAAACGGGCGCACTCAGTCCACTCCATGCCTGGAACACGCACGAGCGCGAAGTCCCGTTCTTTTAATGATATTTTAACCTTTCCCAAGTGACAAGAACTGCATGCCCCGAGCTTCCCGTGCCCAGGAAACGCGAACGCGCACCAGCACTAAAAAGTCACGACGCGGAGTTCACGGGAAACGAGGAAATTCAGGCTATTCGCGGGATAAAATCACAAAATACGTACTAGTCGGTGAACGGCTAGCCGCGACGGTGGCGCCGTCTCGTGACGAATTCTGTTACTACTCGTACGACCGCCTGCCAGGCTCTGGCTAACGCAACCAGCCACTGCGGCCTCTAACGGGTGGTCAGATTTTTACTGATCTATTATTCACCACTGAGAAACCGAGAACGTCAATCCCATGGGGCGCTTCTGTCGTTTCATACTCGTTTCGAAACCTTCCACATTGCCACCCTCGTAGAAAGCAGTACTCGTTTCGTTTACATTGACGTACATTTCTCGACTGTCCGTTTTTGTCTATCTTTTAATAGTGCTAGTTTAAAAGAATTTTTTAAAACAAAAATTTCAGGATCTTGGTAATGACTAGACGTCCTGCTTATTACGAATTTAAGGATTTTATTTATATCACAGTATATTTATAAAATTTATAATTTATCCTGTGATAAGAAATTATAAAATGGTAATATTTTCATTGTGAGCATCGCTGTAGATCTCGACACTGCGTAGTTTTCTACGCCAGTTGGTCTACCGGGTGACGAGATTCTTGGTAATCTATTATTTAGGTACACGGAAGCAATAAACGTCCCTTGAGGATGCTTTATTTATTCAGCCGCGCGAACGCTTCTCGTAATCCTACCCGTTCCAGTGCTGACGATTGCCCTTGAATGATAGATCGACTTTTCCAGCATTAAGATGCCATTTAAACCATTTACCCCCTTTGAGCTAGGTGTATTAATATAAATATGATTTTTGAATCGCAACGGGATGACATCTTTGATTGTCAATGATTTTCATGATGTTAAACACGACATGATGTTTTGATAAATATGGATAATCAAATAAGTTCTCAACGCGTGGAGTTTGTATATTACTTGATATTTGTGTAAAAAATTCACGGTAACGATGAAACTCAATGTCTTGTAGATTTAGTTGCGTTTTCAACCATTTTTGTACGCCATCAGGTATAAACTTGAATACTGAATATACCTTCACCAATTCTAATAAATATTTATTGCATATATTCAGTATACGTTCTTTGTCAAAGAAACGATGGTTTCTACACTTGTCAAAGACCTTTAAAAAGAAAGGTTTAATATTAAGTAGAAAAAATTATTGTACCGAAGAACATAAGTTATAAATTAGCTGATATTAGACTTACGCCATTCTCATCCAATTCATCATTAGGATCATTGACCAATTCCATACACCATGAGAAAAGTGCTGCTACCGCCACTGCTGGGTATCTCTTTATGATATTAAGTTGAAATTTTTCAAAAAACTTCGTCACCATACGTTCGTGGCATTCTACCGCACTTTTTGGTTCGATTTCAGAAATCGTTACATAAACTTCATTACGCACTTCGTCGCTGTCATCGAACAGCAGGTAAAGCATGGCGGTCCACCAGTACAATAAAATATCTGCGAAACAGATAAAGCTCTTAGCAATATATTGTAAATGTTAATAATAAAAAAATATTGATATGCACTCACGTTGTTCACGTGTTTCCATAATAGTGTGAACGTACAATTGACGGATTCCTTTGGCAACAGAAATTCTGCAATCCATTTCCGCAGACTCCATGTAGCAATTATTCATGAACGTTTCATAAATTATTTCCTTACGCTGGACAGTTATGTGCTTTTCCTATATAACAACCCGTCAGATTAGTTAAAAGTGAATTTTATGAAGAGTTTGGAAATTTATTGAAAACTTAGATGAAAAAAATAAGTACTTTGTAATCCTGAGACAATTTTCCATAGGCTAATCCTAGCAACTCAAAGTAACTAGGCCTCTCATAGAAGTCAATTTCTTGTGCTCTTTCCGATAGTTTGATAACAATAAAATTACACATGACATCCACTCTCGAAGAAGACAATAAATAAACTCTACCTTCATCCATAGTACGCAACAAACATGACAGAAAATCGTACAGCTCATCTTGTATTGTGCTATTTAAAAAATCTTGATTGAAAGTATTAAATGCAATAAGTGCAGCTCGATTGACTACTATCCTTTTTATGAGGGAAGAAAAGTTTTTTTTTAATAATTGAGAAGCAATACGCCAACTAATCATTTGCACACGTATTTCCTCGTATGTTAATAATGATTTCCAAAGATTATCAATAATATTCTTCCTAGTTTCTGTCAAATCCGTATCCGACCAACTTGTGCAAATAGCCATGACGAAACCTGGAGCAAAATATTCGTATTCCTCTCGTCCGGGTTTCTGCTTCATTAAGGATGGTTGAACAATATGCGTTTGGACAATGTAAAATAATTGGTTCCATGGTAATTTAGAACGCCTGAAGAATTAGGAATAATTAATAACATCCTTGGAATTAATATTTTTCTCACTCACCAGTGATCCTTTTCATGTATCTTTGTAAGTAGATTTAGATAAGCACCCGCCACACTGAAACATGCTGGCTTATTGTTTGTACACTCTAAATTTGTCAAAATCCAAAAAGAGTTTGAAACAATCTCAATTAACTCTGTTTCTGGTAATATTACCGTTTTGAAATTTGAATTTTTCATTATTTCTATTAACTGGAAACATAACAGACAATTACTTATTGTTAGTTCATTCTTTGGCGAGTCAGAATTTTTATTATAGAAAAAAATTAACCTGAAGTAAGTAGCCATGAATCTCATTCAGCGACAAATGATTTTCAGGTGCCATAGTGATAGTTTTCAGCAACCTTACTATAGTTTCCTTCACAGTATTTTCACTTAGCAGCGAAACCAAAGCTCTGGCTGCAAGTTCACGTGTCTTGTAAATTCTACCTTTTGCACATTTTGATACAAGATTTGAAAATTCTTTTATCTACAAAAAACAAATACTAATTTCAGTTTAAATTGTCCATGAGAACTATACTAGACGTAATATTGAGTAAATGACCTTAAAGATACCATCTAGGTCTTCGTGCTCTTTAGTGGCGTAAAGCCGAGATAGAAATAATAAAATAGCATGGACACTGGGTTTCATTAAAGAATCATCATTAGTAACAAAATCTTGTAACTCCTCGAGGAAGAGATCTTGAACACGAGGAAACAGAGCGAATATCGTTCTACCTGCTTTTTTATTATCCATTGTGAGTTCAATGTGATTTTTAGTTCTTTGTACTCCAAAGCATCGAATAATTAGGACACTAAACAGAAGTGTGCCTGCATTTCGTTCCTGTAAATGAAATTGATGATTCTTTCGTTTGAGACAAAATAATTGTTTATAAAATGATAAAACTTACAGCCCATGTATTTTTATTGTAGCTTTTGATAGCAGCTATCAGGGTATCTTCAAACATCATATATGTCCGGAGCTTCGGTTCAGAACTCCTGAAGAGAGCTCTAAGGATATTAATGGCATGTACTTTCATTTCGGTAAGTCTGGATTCACTAGTACTCTCAAAGTCACTAATATTTGTCCATGTAATAGTATTTTCAAGATCCGAAAATATAGTACCATCATACATTAATGACTTTGCTTTGCTAATCAATTCATCTTCGTTTTCAATATTGATAAGTCCAATTAGAATTGTGAGTACAGAACTGATCGCTGTGGGTTTTGATGTATTTTTCATATTTGGATCAGAAATCACTAAAGCCTAAAAAGCAAGAGCAATGAAATTTATTTTTATAATTTTTATTAAGATAATTAAATGATATATTGTAATGATTATACCTGAACCATGAATGGTATTCCTGCACTTCTTCTAGTTGCGCATAATTTTGGATTCTTTGGCATTACACCAATAATTGCAAGTAGAAGTTCATGCAGCCATTTTCTTGGCAAGTGATTCAAGCTTTTGCTATCAAGACTCCAGAGCCGAGTGCAGTACTTTTGGAAACCAACGTGAGCTTGCTCAAAAGCGCCTCTATGTTTTGTTTCATAAAGAAGTTTTACAAAAAGCTCCCCTATGTCGATTATTTGCTTTTCTGATAATAACGAAGCATTTGTGGTATTATCACTTATGGGGACTTCAGCTATCAAATATCCAAATAACAAACTTATTTCCTTAACTGTACGCCATGAACAGAGTAACACCATTTGAGGTGTTACAGTAGTTGCTTCGGGGTCAAAGAATAAACAATTAAGATAATCTGAATTTAAATCCATAGGAAGATGACCCTCTGGCGATGAGTTGTTAACTATTTGGGTCACTGCCTCATTTAATCGAAAACATTGGTCAATGATTGTGCTAATCATTTCTCTCCAATCTTCCTCCATAGAAATTTCTCTGAAATAGTTTTAAGTTATTTTTTAAGAAAGTTATTATATGAAATAGTGTAATTACCGGAGATTGCATATACTCAGTAGACTTCTTACACAAAACAAAAAACCATACAAGGAATGCTTCCCAATTGCAGTGACTATATTTTGTTGAGCTAATTTGATTGGAGCCTAAAACACAATGAAAATTTTGCAAATATCTATTTCATACAACTTGAAAACATATGATCACATTTTATTACCTCATATCGTTGAATTAGAATGTTTATCAATTTTTTTGCATCTGACTGAATGTGCTTTGTCGGAGTAAACAGAAGTTCAAGCTTGTAATCTTCTTTAGCATAACAGGGCAGTGTTAAAATTTTTAATAAATATGCAGCTGTAATGGTATCATTGGGCTTAATGCTACTTGCTAATTCAATGGCTTTATCTAAAATTTTCTCAATATATACATCAGGTTTTGAAATAGGACTCCAATTTAGCTTCAGGCCTTTTGAAATTTCATATATAATTTCTTTATTAGATTCATACGTATCTTCAATTAAACATGAAATTAGAAGCGATACTTTTGTCAAATGATTAATTTTCGTCATAGCAAATATTTCAGTAACTTTGAAGTCATTGCATAAACAAAGAAATTCAAAAATTGCATGTTTGCAATCATGTGTGGCTTTTGGATGCAGTCTATCAATGCACAATTTACATAAATCATCCAAAAAATTCCAGTGATATCTGAATATCTTACAAGCAGATTTATACTCAGTGTCGTAATAACCATTAACAAACTTCATCCTTTTAAAAATATCCCATTGTGTAACAATACTTTTCTGTGTGACTGATACACCATGCAATAACCGTTTCAGTACCTAAAATTTGATTTAAAAATATAAAATATGTTAATTTTTAACCCAATATAATTTCTGAGTATTAACATCATACAACCTTCTTCATTAATGGCATAAAATCCATCCGTTCTCCAATATTATTTGTCAAGAATACAATAATTAACTGTAATTCTTTCTCTGTAAAAATTGGAATACTTTTCTTCGACTCAACTAACAATATTAGTGCTTCTAATCTAATCTGCAAAAAGAACACGTAAAAATATATTTTCTTATGAAAAAAATAAAATAGTCACAACCCTTGACTATTGTATGGATATCTTATAATACCTCTTTGCTAGAATGTATCAAATACGACTCAAAAACATTATAATCCAAAGTATTTCGCCATAAACAAATGTCACCATCCATCTGATCACAAACATCCAAATCTCCGGCACATTTACTTTCTTTTAAAAGTCGTAACTTCTGAAGTAAATTCTTTTCCTCCATCTTAGAAAATCTCTACTTTAGCAATGAACACTATAAAACAATATTAATATTTTTCAAACAATAAATATTACTGTACTACGTTTTCTCAATAACAATCCAAACATTTCAGCGGCTATGTGAGCACCAGTCAACACCGAAAGCACATGTGGAATCAGTATCTATTTTAGCGCCATCTAGCTGACGTACAACTAACTACTTTAAGTCACGCACATCGGTATATATTATAATTTCTTCATTATCGTGTAATTTCAAACAAGTATCGACATCTACTGTGATACATCCACTTTTAATAAATACAAGTTTTATCTTCGTAAATGCCAAGGGAGAATTTTACCAAAAAAATGTAGTCTCTGAAATAAAAAATAAAATTTTACCAAGTGACTAATGATTTATCTGCAATAAGTACAATTATGTGAGGCATTAATCATATTATTATATAAAGGTAACAGATATTACCTCTTGGAAATCGTCCATTACACTTCAATTATCCAATTCAAGACTTAGGGTTGACAATAAGCAGATACAACATTGTTACAATTCAATGGCCGCAATCAAGCAATACTGGTCTGTATATTGTAACTATATTTCCAATAATTCCAGTCCTTTAATGCATGATTAATGATGACCGTATAAAGAGAATGAAATGCGAGAACCGACTAATATCAAATAAACCATGTGAAAACGAATGAGCTCTCAAAACGTATTACGGGAAATTGAATTACCGTAATGCAGAGAGCGTACAAGGTAAAATCCATATTAGTAGAGGGTAGTTAAAGGGCAATGGCTTCTGGTCGTACCATGTATTGTAACGCCACTTTTTACGGTGAAGCACAAATAAATGGCACCATCAGAAATAATTAATAAAATATTAAATGTAGTGGGCGCCAGGTATAACCAGAGTTAGGTTAGAAGAATTCACAGCACTCCTGGTACTTGACATAGTTTTTTACACGTAAGTGTTTATTGGGATAACCGGAGTTATACCGCTGTCTCCTGAGGACACCCTGGCCAGCTCTTATGTGGTGGGGTCTTGGTTTTGGAAGACAATAATAAAAATGTGAAAATTATGGAGGTTCACTTTAAAAACTAATGAACATATTTTATACAACACCGAATCGGAACCAAAATCCAGGAACGGGATCCGATTTATTTTAAATAGAAAAATATAAGGACAACACTGTTGAATACTGAAGGTCCCTCAAACGGATCACGATACGATAAAACAAATAAAAAATCGGTACTACACGATAGCGCGTCTATCCCTGAGCTAGGTCAGCGCCGCGAGTGACGCTATAAATTTCCAAAATCGGGAACCTTCCCGAGAGCGTGCAGTAATACCACCCTCCCTGGTCCAATCAAATTTGTTGTTAAATCGGTTCCGCTAGCCAGCTCGCAATCTTCAATTGTTTTGACGATCCCGATAAAATAGATCCTGACATCTTATTACGTTAGGATGGCATCAGTGCTGTTTCCGTGGGGCGAGAATCACATCCACCTCTACTCCCTCGATATTCGGCTCCGCGCTTCTCTCGGACTCCGTCACAATATAAATCCTCGTTGAATCCTCCCGGATACGCTTGATGAACTCAAAAACAACAAAATATTCCCCACGGGGAGATAAATGTAAATTCTTAAAATTAAAGTCAGTCCAGCGCCAGGCGAAACGCTCCGTAACCCATCAGGGCCCACGACGTAGGCGAATTCACCTAATTTTTAGACGTGCATCAAAATGCCACGTCACAATATATATTATATGCACAAAACATATATTCGCCACTTCAATTCCTTCTTTGTAATTTTAACTTCCCTCGCTCTTAATGCAATACAAGTGGATAAAGAAGAATTTTAAGCCAACTGATTGTTCAAGATAGAACTTGAAACAAAGAAACGGAGAACTGATGAAAAACAGATACGTTTTCTGACACGTTGCGGACTCTTTCCTTTCTATCGTCTTTACTTCTTCTTTTTTCTTCGACGACGTAGAATAGATAGCCTAGCATGTTCGACCAAGGTTTCGTATATCGTTTACAGTTACGACCTCCACTAGAGAGACTCGCACTGTTTCGCGTTCTTTTAATTACCAACCATCCTGGGAAGGATCCCAGGGCGTTTCTCACCATTCATCGCTCGAAGGTCCCCTCGTTTGTAATTAGAACAGAAGGTACCCTCATATGTGTTGAGTATGTGTATAGATATATCACAAGTATCACTCACGAGAACTCAGGTCTGGTGTTACGCCCTTATACTTTTTTCCTGTTTTTGTTCGGGCTTCAATACGTTATCTAACTTCCTCTTGAAATTTTTCAAATACATTGTCAGATATTAGACTAATTACTCTACGTACCTTCCTGTCTTTGTTTAATTATATTTATCCTGTCTAGGTGTGAACAACTCGAATTTGTTTGCGTTACGCACGTATTTTTTTAATGGCTAGAACTTTTGATTCAATTCAAGATTATTATTTATTATTCGTCAAAAATTTAAAAATGCTTACCAAGCTCTTACCACGAGTCTTAACAATTCTTGAAGAATATTCCTGAGGAAGATAATGTATTCGAAACTTTCGTCTGTTATATCCTTTTTTGGCATATTTTTATGAAAGGAAATAAAGTCAATGATGTTCCACTAGCACTTCCAGTACTAAGAGACGTTGAAAATTGTGTCAGATTCACAATAGCAGTTGTAATAGGCATGCTTGAATCCAGACATGGAAAAGTGGAACATCTTAAAGGTATTTTAAAGTGGAAGCTATTTTATTCTTGAAAAACTGTCAGAGAACAATGCATAGGTGAGTATGCCATTTTAAGGCTGTATTCTTGTTGTCAGGTATGCGCGAACAAGATTGTTATGTAGATATGGAAGACATCGTTTATGTAACCGTCGTAGAAGCGTCAACGCTTTTTAAATGCATCACATGAATATTAAACTCGTTTTTCCCGGTGCACCGCGACGTTGTCACGTTGCCTTGCAATAGTGGCCAAACTTTTCCTCCCTCTCCCTGTCTCTCTCACTCACTCACTATTTTCCTATGGGGATATGCAAAACCATCAGCAACACGAGATACGAGCATTTTGCGCGAAATGGCTCATCGATTCAATTCCAGGATGAACGCACAGTCGATTATTGGGGAAGCCCCATCGCACACAGGGAAAAGCTCGCCGACCGTTAACTGGATTTGATGGAGGGTCAAATTAAATTAGTAGACGATTGTCGGTTATTTACCTACCTGAGAGAACTCTGCACTTCGATGAGCCGGGAGCCAGCGTCGTATAAACCTCATTGGACTTTATCCAGCAGCGCCATGAAATGCAAGCGGGCAATTTCAGCAACTGTCTGTAATCGACTGGGTAGCGAGGATGAGTAATGGTATGCACTTCTTTTGATTTGAATTGTGCGTTGTTTTCTAAATCGTTTGTTTGCTACATCAGATTTTATTTTTCAAAGATCATCGACGTTTTAACGATTATCTCGCTTATGTAAATTTCATCAAAAACTGTTATTCCGGAAGATATTTCAAATTCCCTGTGAGTCGTTCTCGTTAGCTCAAACGACATTTCCAACTTTTTATTATTTTACCATTTTAATACATCACAAGTCATTTATTAGTTCTGTTCGTAAATTCATTCCATCCTTTGACATTCCCTATGACTTTAAGCACCAGAAATGACATACTGATATCGTATATACAGAACGACTGTAGCATTAAATAGAATACCATGACGTTTTACTGAAGGTTATGGCGTTTTTCATATATCTATATTTCGACATTTATTACTCCATTACTTTTGAAAGGTTCGAGATATCGACATTAATCGCAGGATCATTCTGTTCCCTCTCTTGAAGGGAGATACGGGTGTGAAGGATATATTGAATTATCGTAGGGTCAAACGATACTGTCACGACACGAAATAGAAACCTGAAAGGAGCCAAAGCAGAGAACATATATTACATGTTCTCTGGCCAAAGTAAATATATTTTGTATCGTCATTTATTTTCTCTCTGAAACTAGTCAGCAGCTTGTTTCGTCATGGACGAGTGAAAGAATAAATTTTCCATTTTTCAGGTAATCGTTCCTTTCGGTTGATTCGACGTGAATACGAGCGTCAAGTGGTATCCATCTGCATGACGTCACGTCGAAACGCATTGCTCCGAGCCATTGAAAAGTTGTCAGCCGAGATTAGTTCCAGCTACTCGTATCCTATCATGGTACCGGAAGTGCGGGGGAGGATGTTGAGGAATGGCATAGAAGGGAAGTACAGAATGACGAAGGTGGGACGCATCGTAAAATCGAAAATGTCATCTCTTCCATTCTTGAAACAGGCCAATACAAGCTTAAAGGGGGTTCCCCGTTGTCGAATCGAAACCACGAGTCGATCGGACATTCGATATCTCTCGTTTGCGAATGGACAAAATAATCCAACGTCGGATATCATTCTGGTATGTGTGGATGACATAGAACTGAGATACCAGGACACGGATATCATTTCATCTCACAGAATCGAACTGGCGGTTTCATTCGCGGTATCCATTTTGAAAGTATTATTCTCTAGTAGAGAATTATATAAATATCTCTGATGGAAGTATCGAGCCGAAGAGGATGCCAGCGAGCCGTATAATATATGCGGTAAGTTAATTGAAGAAAATATAAATTATTGAAGTAACAGTAAAAATAAATAAAAATAGGATCATGGACTACTTTCAGAAATAGTACGTGAAGAGTGACTACTCAGCAGTTGAGATCAAAGAGAAAATGTAAAGGCAAGAGTATATAAGAAAAAATAGAATTTTCTTCGATTCAACAGTGATCGAGTATCAACAGTATGCGTGAAATGATAATTCCAAGGATTTGATCAATATGGCATTCCTAGTAAGTACAGGACTAAGCTAAGCAGGATTTCTTAGTCATGAGGTAGGAGCTTGGGCAAGAGAAAAAAGTGGAAGAAAAAAATATTGTTCAGAGCAATCCAATCCAATTGAAGTCAGTTTATTCCCGCAGGCTGCTTCGTGGGTACGTGAGGATTGAAACGGATATCGAGGATGAAAATAAGAATGAAGGACAAGCGGGGAACACGATGAGAAGTACGAGGATAGGGATTCCTGAGAAGATAAATCCATGTCTCGCGGGAAGTGTGCGAAAAGCGCTAAAAGGGGTAGAAACAAATAGGAGAGGCAGGAAGTAAAACAAAAAGAATGGAAGCCCGAGGGTGGCCATGGGCTTCGACTCGAATACCAAGAAGCCTCTAGGTCCAAGTAAATGTTTCCTGGGTTTCCGGATAAATCCACGATCGCCATCTAACCTTTCAGTACCACGTGTCTTATCCTTTAGGATGCCAGTATTTAGGATAAGCTCCAACCCCAACCTGCCAATTCCGAACCATCACGTCAGATCTCGTCACGTTGCTTTACACATATATGATTATCCCCTGTTTCAGATACTTTAGAGATTTTCAGCGTTGGGTGGAATTAACGCGTCTTTCACACGCTAAACGATCATCCCTTATTAGACGGAAGAGGATCTCAGAAGGAATGACCCAGGCCAAAGACCATTTCATATATTCATCATACCAGCACACTACAACCAAAAAGTTCCACAGTTGCAAACTAATCTTGCTTTTCGTATATCCAATGGGTCTAAGGGTAGATATGCCTGTAGGTACAAAAGCGGTTCGAGTGGACAGAGTGTCCAATTATTTCTCAGGACTCTATTTCCCCTAGACATTCTCGTCTGAATTAAAAGCCATCAACTCTTATGTATAAATCCTTGTACCTGAATACCTGGGTACAATGATCTTGACCGCCCAGAGGTATGATTGTTGGCGTTATATAAAATCTAGGGGAAAATCTGCATGAATATTACCTTTTCACCCTGTCTGAAACGTGGTTACACGCAACCCTTAATCCCATGAAAAAGGATAAGCCAACTAGACGTGAACATTTTTGCTACATCCCTAGGACAGAGTCAGCAAGTAAATCCCAGTCAAAGCTTCGCTAGAGGAATTAGTCATTCCGTGACAGTATATTTTAGCTCGGAAATGAGACTTCAACTACAACTATTCGTACACGTCCAGTAATGTAATTACCAAGGTAAGGAAAAAGCAGGTTTCCTAGCGTCCACAAAGTGTAATAAGGACGGGATGAAAAAGAGGTGTCTGGCTCGAAGTCCGGTAGCCATCAAAAAACTCGGTTGAGTCTCGCGCCAAGTACCAGGCAACCGGCGGTACAGCCAAGGCGACGGAGCAAGTCATGTGACTGAGCGTCATTAATGGCGTCCTGCTTGTGGATTTCGTGCGGTAAGATTAAGAGAGGAGAGTGAACGATGATTTTTTACGTGCCTTGGCCCGTGCGTGCAACGGAGATAGCAATACGGTGCGATCGAAAGGGGAAACCTTGCGAGCTACACTAGTTAGCGTCATATTGCCAACTCGTTCGCACTAATTCTCTGCGAAAAGGACGCAACTAGCGACGCTTTGTCGTTTCGCTGACACCATAGTGTTCTCTCTGTTGCTCGCACGAGCTGAGATACGTAAATAATCCTGCACCATCTCCTTCTCTTCGCCACACGACGTCGACAAGCTGGACACCATTAATGACGCTTATCTGCATTCAAGAATACATTTTTTATTAATTTTGTATATATTTTTATGTATTTCTAAAAAAGAACCTATGAATTAAATTAATATGCCTTTAAACATTTTCTACAACCACTATTTTTCGGATTGACGACCTCGCAATGTATTTACATTTTATATCTGTAACAATATAGAATCGAGTGCTTAAAATTTTTTTGAATTCGTGAATTTCTCTAACAAAAAGTATTGAAATCATGTTATTAATGCCAAATACATAAGTCACATATCTGCTTATTATATGATCTAGCACTAGCCCATCATTTTAATTGTATTTTCAAAATTTCCTATAACGTTTTCGCTACTCTTTTATATTACTACTGCTTCTCATACTTAGTTATGATTTAATGGTCATTTAATAATTAACAAAACTTTAGATGATTCCTTATAGATAGTACTTGGCGGGTCCGTGCATTACTTCATGTAAGTTTGCGTTCATTATTTCAGTCTTCAAACTCAAAACCAACATCAACTTTCTATACAGAGCATATTAGCAATAACTCGTCAAGAATAATCGATAAAAGCCTAATAACCAACATATAGTTTTAGTTACCACTAGTACATTCAAAGTAAGTACTTTGAAATTTCTACCACGGATCGGCCAAGTATTACTCTATAAGGAATCACCTAAAGTTTGATTAATTATTAACTGACCATTAAATCATAATTAAATACGAGAAGCAGTAGTAATATAAAAGAGTAGCGAAGCCATTACAGGAAACTTTGAAAATAAATGACGGGCCATACAATAAGCAGATATGTAGTGACTTATCTATTTGGCATTAATAATAAGATTTCAATACTTTTTGTCAGAGGAATTCACAGCACCCCTGTACTTGGTATAGTTTCTCACACGTATTTTGTTAAGGGTTTGCGCCTACTCGAGTTAATTAAGCAGAACCCTATGAGAGCTCAAAATAGTCATCGTCGTCCTGGGATGAAGTTCGTGGTAAAAGACTTCTAGTTGTCTCGAGTAGATACCACTTCACTGGGAAGTCATATCACCCCTCCACCTTTCTCTCCTCCCTCGCTATCTAGATCGATAGATAAACCTAAACCCTAATCACAGAAATAGAATCCTTTCAGGAATCCTGCCACTGTATACGAGCGAATCTCCAATAGTTACACAAAGCATCGACATATCAGCTATGTACAGTGACACGTGTAAAAATATTCAGTGATTTCCAATTACTCCCTTTTGAATCTGACGGTTGTTTCATTGGTGGGGATAATTTGAAATGTTTCGCGATTCCCAATTGAATTGCACTCGTTAAAGCAATTGATCTGGTTGCGGAACCTATGGCATGTGTCCTCCACGTAGATTGTAGAATGACAAGTACAGTGACGGGTGGCCTATATAAAGTCCATATATATGCATATGCATACATAAATATATATGCATTGTCCGAATACAAAGGCATATATTCCACGAGAATTCTCCTACGTGCCGTAGTTCCATTTCACGAATTATCATCAGGGTGAGCCGTAGGACGAGGAACCTCGGTGCTGCCAGTAATTATGCGGAGGTAAAACTTGAGCTTTCAGCATTGTGCATTGGATTACAATGCATTTTATGCAAAACAGTTCGTAGCCAGTGGAAGTGCGAGAATAAAGGTAGGCGAGGAGAGCAAGCTTGATTCAAAAGTCTGCGCGGACGGTTCACAGGCTGCGATTATGTCTACTTTGTCCTGGTAGCAGCAAAGAGATTTTGATATTGGTTCCTGGGGTTGCCGAGGATCTTTTAAGAGACAATAAAATTCCTAGGCAAAGATTTTTCAGCGGTTCTCCTGGAATGCAATAGACATGAGTGCTCAGAGGGATGACGCAGGTAGATACGTTCCCGAAGAGAATTTTACCGGTGAATCCGTGAACCGAGAAAATATGTAGCACCAGGTGCGCCGATATGATTTGTCCTTAAACGATGGTCGGACTGTCAGTGATGCGGAGGCGTGTAAAAAAATGCCGACGATTTCTCCGTAAAATTGCCAATATAACCTTCGAATGCCACGGTCGAATTGACAATTTATATTCGTCCAGCCTGAAAGCGAGCAATATCCAATATCCGTTTGAAAATGGTAGAAATATAGTATCGCTTAGGTTATTTATCCGAAAAATAGTTCCACCAGATTCCCATGGGAGCGCTACGATTATAATTCCAAGCAAAGGAGTTTTCCGTAGGAAGTAACCCTTAGGCGTCTTAGGGTACAATATTATTTTTAACATCGAGAAAGATCGTCCGTTATTCCAAGCAGGTAGAAGAAATCTTCGTTACTGTAATAAAATTAAAATTTTACAGGATTATTTTTTTCTAGGTTTTTACAGGCGTAAACCACCACTCTCATGGACGGTATACTTACGGCATTGGGTAAAATTCATCTTAAGGTATTTTAAACTCACGTGAATACCATAGTTAAAACTTTCCCTGTGGGGTTGGCGTTTAAGGGATCCGGGCCAATGTATACAAGGGGAATTCAAGCGGGTCAAGTTTTGAATGCCTTCGAAGCCACCTGTAGGGCATTTTCCACATTAATTCTCAAGGTAGCATTGCCTCCGCGCTGATGATGACGTTCCCCGTCGAGACGACGCCGGTTCGACTTTCGGCTTAACCCGAGTACAGCGGGGCTTCGCGTAAAATAAAATAAAAGCAAGTGAATGGACAAATACTACAGTGTTGAACGTATGTACGCTTCCATTCAGATACCTAGGGTCTCTCGTGTGTCTGCTGGCTATATCCGGCCCGAGGATGTCTCCCTCCTTCATATTAACATTCCTTCGGTCCCGTCCTTGTGTACCCGATTGGAAAGGTGTATACAGCACATGGACAAGCCATTCTACTAGCAGGGATTTCCGAACTGAAGTTTGTGTGGAGAGGAAAGAGAGGAGCCCTTTGAAAAAAGGTTCCCTGAAGCGCTTAGAAAGACGAAATGTTTTTGAAATCTGTAAAATATGCATATATACAAAAATAATTATTAGTCGTAATTAATAATACTCGTTAAAAGCATGTATTTTTAGAAAATAATAAATACCTTGTGGTTACTCCAATCTGAAACTACCTGTACTATTTATCCAATAAGGTATAGATTAGGTAAGGTATAGATGTCTCTAGATTCAACCTAAGGGGAGTGGTTGGTATGTCTCTCCGAGATAATTCGACCGATCCGTGTGCTGGCATCTAAGCGATCGAGAATCTTCACGAGCGGGAATTCTCTGGAGAGAATAAAGTAATTTAGATAACAGCTTTCCTTCGTACAAACGAATCGTCGTAACTCGTTGTCGTTACAGACGTCCTACGTCTATACGATGACGTTCCATCTGGTACTGAGCAGCATAGTAAAAAAAGTTTAGCGTCAGGTAGCCATTTTATATAGAATATATATACATATACGTTGTCTTATAAATCTAGTAAAAAGATTTCCGTAAGGTTATACCAAGAAAAAATAAGAAACTTCAATAAATTGCGAAAAGCATGAAAATGCAAGGTGAGTGCACGATCCTGTGCGTTCGGTTCTGTCACTCTAGTGTCTCTCTTTACCCCCACTCCTTTCTATTTTCATCCCCACTCCATGTGGTAACAATACCCCCACTACTAAATTCTGTCGCATGTCTCCCCACCTGAGCAGGTAACGTGCCAACGCCAGGCAATGGCGCTTACTCGTGCACCTGGGGTAACCGTTCACCAGGTGCCATGCGATCCTATTGGTCGAAAGTATTAAAACAACGATCGGATTGGCCGTAGTCACAGCTCCATAGGCATGAGGCTTTAATCTCGTTTACCGTAGTGCGTCGGTGCTCAGTTTAAGTTACCTTAGCTGCACGGGCAGGCGGACATTTTGTAAAGCCGCGCCGAAAAAACGCGCTCTCTACGTGCTACGCGGCAGATCGTATATCCGCCGAAAAATCGGTCGCGTCCGACCTGCCCGACGACGGACCTTAGGTTAGGAACGCGAAAGCGGTGTCGTGTTATCGAGGTGAGGAAAGTTTTGCATGGCCGTTTTTCAAAAACGACCACGTTAGTACGACGTCCGTTATGCGAGGTTGCCCCACCGGTGGCGCGCCGTTGCTGTGATACGTGCGGGGTATTTGTTCTAAGAGGGCATTAGTCCTTACGATATTTGACAATCCATGACAGCCATAACATTGCCGCTTTGTTTGGCTTCATTTTATCTTTCCACGTATCCAGTATACGGACGACCATACTCGGGCATTTTTGGCTTTTCCCGCCAAAGAAAAAGGGAACGCCAACATAACCTATTACTCTTATTCGGTTTCGCGAATTGATATCGGAAACGACAGTGCTCGTGAGTTGCTTGATTATCTGTGAACCCATTTGTTTTATGTCGCTCCGTGTGTATCCGTCAGTGTATTCTCGATTCTGTACAATAATTCATGTCTGTCTTATTTTTCGAGTGCGCCTTGTGCAAGTGATTGGTGAGTGTTACCGCGATGGTATAAGAGCAAAGTGTTAAAAATAAAAGAATATAATCAAAGAAAAGTTTTACGTTACAAAAAGAGTATATAAGTAGGATACAAGTGTGACAACGCAGACGCTTCTGCCTTTTCAAATTCTGGATTACGCGGGTGACTCGAGGATAACCAAGATTTTGCCGATTCATAAAAAAGGTACGTCTAATAATTAAACGTCTTACCGAATCAGTTTCTACTAAAGAATAAGGAGCTTTCACTGGACAGTTATGACTACGCCAGATAACGAGTGATACAGCGAAAACCATGAGCGTTGTGAGATAAAAGAACGAGTGTACAGGTTAGCCTGAATTTTCCTTGGGCGTAAATGAGCACCGGGTTGATCGCATAACCTTCAACGTAGAGCGTGGTCAAACGATGTTTTAAAAACATTTCACAAGTAACAGCAGCCGTGCTAGTAATATAATAGTAGCGGTAATATTAGTAGTATAGCTACCGGTTACCAGCATAGTGACTCTAGTAGTACAAGTACAGTCTAGTAATAAAATTTAAAAAATTTCATTGAAACCTTTCTGCACGTCTTTTACGTCCTGCTCTCAAGTGAATTCTGGGTAACGGCGAAAAACGATTCCTCGTGGATTCTCCTGGAACAAAGTACAAGTAAAGGATAAGGAGTAGGAGTAAAAGAGAAGATTATATTACAGTGGTGGGAGGGGCGTTCAATTTAACTTTTAAATGGGCTTCTCGAAACGCATCTTTGGTTTTGGGCTACTAAGCCTATGCTTACGTTAGGCAGGAATTCCGGGCATGCCGAACAAAAAGGAAGAAAAAAAAAACGAGGCAAGAAGAAACACCGCAAGAAATCCACGGCGTGGCTCGCTGCCCTGAAACCATACTTATCTGACATTAGTTGGGCCGTATGATTTTTTTTTTTTTCATTCCTTTTACATGTTTTTTCTTCGTCTCCTCTTCTTCTCTATACTTCTCTTATTCTTCTCGTCTGTCATCTTTTGCCTTTTTCTCTGTATCTTCTTGTACTGTTACTTCTTCATCTTCTTGAAATCTTAGAACGTCGCTCCAGCACGATTGCAGTCCTCAGGTCTTTTTTTGTCTTCCTAGTATAATGTTACTGGCGTAATAATAAACCCCGTGGAATTAGGGATTTATGATTTGGTTATTGTAGCTTTACAAGATTTCTTTGGATATAAAATTTCTTCATTGAATCTCTACTAACTTGACTGTTTACTCTTGTTTGACATTTCTCGTATTTCTCGTTACGTATCTGTTGTTCTCTTTTATCGAGTTTTGGACTCTTCCAGGTATTTCTAAACTACTTCTTCATCCTTACCGTTTTAATAGCTTCCTAGGAAAACCACAGCGTTCGTCATGGTTCGTGAGTATTTTGCATAGCTCCATTCCGTGGCGGCGAGCAGCACGCGATACCTCGTGTCGGGTATATCTACTTCGAACGCGGTGGTCTTATCTAACCTAACCTAACTTTTATCACCATGTGCAAGTATGCACCTCAAGAAAAAGACCTACTAAAAAGTCGCGGTACATAATTTCTTCTACATTGAAAATTAACTCTTCAATGGACCCATCCGATCTGACAGATCCTACCGCTATACATTTCTTATGAGCTAAAAAACGGGCTCACTGAAGGGTAAAATATTTAAAAAAAGAACCAGTCACGTGGTTAATAAAATTTCTCTCTAGATTCCACGCAAGAGTCGATTGACTGGGTTAACAGGATTTAGGTTGGTTAATTTTTCAAATTGTTTCAATTTGGCGAAATTTACCACTCGCGCGATTGAAAGACTTTGAAAACGAAACGGGAGGGAAAAAGAAGGTAAAAATAAAATGTTAAATCTACCCTATGTGGTACCGTGGTGAATCTTCAGAGAGTCGTTAATGAGATTAATCTGATTTATTTGATTAACGTAAACACTAAACGTTGCTTCTCTTTGGCGGTTGGAGCTTTTTCCATTAATCGAATGTCTTTAATCCCACCTCGTAATTAGCGCTGTCATTACGCTCGCGAAATGTTCCCTAGTCGAACAGGGCAGAGAGTAAACAGTGGGCAAGAGAGAGACAGAGTAAATTAAATATTTACACGTCCGAGAGAAACAGAGATCCGTTCCGAAATTCGCGAGAGGGTCGACTATAAAGATCGGAAGACCTCGTGACGCCTGTAGCCGCCCGTAGGTGCTTGGAAAGTTCGCGTGAGACCAAAGAGAGAAAGCGTGAAAGCGAAGTTTCGTAGCCGGCGGGATGAGTTTGTCGAATTGGAGATATTTGAATTTTCCCGGGCTTTTACAAGCTTTCGAATCAAAATTCAAGAATCCGATTACCGCAATAAGCCATGCCCCGTTCGTGAACGACTTCGTGAATGAAAAGTTAAATCAAATAAAAGCAATTAAAATGCACGTTATTAAATTCCAAAATAAATAATACAAGCGAATAAGAAATTTTCGAAACGTTATAAAGTAACAGTAAAATCAACCCAATCGTCCGATTTACCCAACCAATATATTTTATTAAACGCGTACATATATAATTCAATAAATTCTATCCGGCGATTCATCCTTTTTGTAATGAACGATTTAAAAAAAAGTGATTTAATTTATTTATAACATTTCAGGTGGCCGCACGGACAGAGATGGCATGAGGGAGGGCTCCGGCAACGTTGCCGAGGTGGTAAGTATCCTTAACTTGATAAAATAAATCATTACTCAAAATGTCCTTCCTCTACCCACGATATACGTGCAACGCGCGTATTCGCATATGCGGAAGAGCGTGGATGTAAGAAGAAAAAAAAAGTGGATCGTCTAGCGACGCGCGCGAATAGCGTCGTCACGCAATTTGGAAATGCCCGTATACCGCGATAGTCGCTCGTTACTTCGCAACTGTTGGCTGATTTGCAATTTGAGAGAGACGCACTAGCGTGTAACGCTCGCCCCAAGGTAGTTGATACCGTCGCGAGAACGTACCGTATAGCCCGTAGTACTACTCTTGAGTAACAGTACTGGTACTGGTACTGGTTACCGGACTTACTAGTCGCCCATGACAGAGACTAGGAGTTTGAGTAGTAGTACAGTAGCACGAGATGCTGATAGAGAAGGTAAATGCTAGGTAGAGCAGCTACGGATAGTAGCCTATAGTGTACGTATATACGTATATACGTATATACGTCCATACATCTAGCGTACAGTAAGATAGAGGCGTTAGACGTACACGATGACGTCGTCTAAGGACGGCCGGTACCATCTTTCCGTAATGGCACCTACTACTACGTCTTTTTTTTCTTAACTCTGGCCTCGTGTGAATAGGTCTTCTCTGCAACCGACTGGCGAACGATACCGCCAAGTATTTTCGAAAGCCCAAGGGGGCCGTCTTGGCCGGCCCCAGGAACGCGAAGTAGGCTACCAGGTTAATACTTGGCGGAGGGACCTCGCGAGCGAAAGAGTAATGGAGAGTGACAGAGGAGAGAAATTTTTAAGGTCGCTACCATGTGCACAGGCCTTAAGGCCTATACGGCCGCTCGTGCTTATAGCGAGAATGCACGCGTTTTTAGATAAAAATCGTGAAAGGAACGAGGTCGGTGCTTTCGCAAATTTTACTTTATTATTTTTTGATGAAATTTATTTTTGCCACTACGCGAGAACCCTAGTGAGACTTCGTGGTAACAGGTACTCTTAATTTCATTAATTAAGAGACACTATCAGTAGGTCGCAATGGCCGTGCTTTTATTCTGTTATTTTTTTTATCTTTTTTTTTTTTATTAGTCTATATATCTATGACGGTTCCTTATTTATGTTAATGGTAAAGTCCAACTCC